GCCCTGAAATGAGCTACGCTACACGCAGCAGTATAAAAAGTTTCAATGCGTCTTGAAACTCGTTGCTGTGATGAAATTTCAAATAACAAAAAATTTTAAAGATGTGATGCCTCCTTAATGGTTCATATTTAGAGCAGGAAATAATCGTGATTCAAGATCAGCTTATTATTCATGCCTTTCAACGAAAATTTCCATAGTTCCACAACAGATGATGCGTTCTTGATGTTCATTATCTCTGCTACTTTTGAACTTCGAGAAAAATGATGCGACGTGTTCTTTAAGAGGGAATGGATTAATCTAGCACATTTTCCACCATCGAGATTCTTTCATGAGCAGAAAGCATCTTTCTTTCTGTTCATGAACGTATTTAAATTTTTTTTTGAGAATGATAACGTTAAATATTACCAGCGAAATGGCAATTCATTATCATTCAGTAATTGGGTAGGTCATTAATACAGGAAGTCACATTTAAAAGCCCCGATCTTAATGGTTTAATGACGTTAGTTTCAACTTTATTATTTCCATCAGAAGAAACAGTTTGCGTAAAATCTTCCGCTGAAGACTCTTAGTGGCGCTCATAGATCAAGACTATTTTTTTTCAAAATCCATTTTTTAATTTAAATTTGTTACAGGAAGCATTGGCAGAATTGAATAAATTCTTGGAAGAACACAAGAAAGCTGCAAATGCGGCAAAACCTCCACCAACCCCGTGGAAACCAGAGGATGAAGATGAACTTCTGAGTGGCGAATCTTCTGGTGGCGGAGCTGGGTCAAAGAAACCCAGCGAAAGCGTGGTTGCAAAAAACGGAAATTCTGCATTTGCCAATGAATCTGCTACAGAGCTAATAAGGTTAATTTAATATTTTCAATGCTTTTAGCCCCTGTCTCAAATCGTACAAAAATTACAAATTTACGTGCCATTTAGTGACGGCAGATCGGGAGCGGGGTTTGAATCTTCCATGCAAACATACGAATTCGTTGAGCGGATTTCCATGGGATTACACAAATCTTTCAAGTATGATTATGAAGCTGAACAATTTGATGGCAGTGAAGAATCAAGTAGCAGTGAGGGGTTCAAACCGGTTGAGGACGAATCTCGGGAAGACAAATCGGATCACGATTTGATTGATTAACCTAGAACTTTATAATTTTTATTTTATTCCTCAATTTCTCGTTTTTAATCCATGTTTAGTTATCTATTGTGTTATGAATCTCTTCTTTGGTTTTTGGGAAGTCCCAAATTGTGCCAAAGCTTATATTTCCAAGCGTTTCCGAAATCATGCGTGTTTTTCGTCCCTTCACTCTACAGAACTAAGCAATTATTTTCCGAACACTGAATACGCACAAAATTCACCATGGATATTCATTTTCCTCACACAAAAAGTAGAAAGCATTCCTTTTAAATCTGTTAATTGGAAAGCATGGACAGAAAATGTTAGAATGAAAAAGACGGGATTTTATATCAAAACGTATTTCTTGAAGTTTAAATATTGGTTTCCATTAACAAAGCATCATCTGTGTGCGTCATGGAGAAACAAATTTTCCTCGATTTTCTGTTTATCATTATTCGAAGACATTACAATTATTATTTAATTGTTACTCCAAATTTTATAATATCTTTCCGACTCATCCCAAATTTTTGACGAGCAGAGAACTCCTGAATTAAAAATACTGAACCTCTGATTAATTTTATGTTATTTCGCCAAGGAACAAAACTAAACATAAGAGCTGTGTGGGCTTGAGGCTTTGTGCGTTCAAGTCATTGCACAAGGAATCCAATTTGGTTGTCAGATGGTCATCATGCAACGGAAATGCGATTGTAATCTCTTTTTTTTTATTGGAGTGAAGGGGGGGGGGGTTAAGGAATTAATTCAGAGGGTGAAGAAATGAAGTCTTAAAAGTCCAAAGACGTTTCAAAAGTCTCAGTTTTACTTTATCATCACGGACCTCGAAACTTTCTTGAACACACCATCAGTTAGGTACTATTTTCGTGTGAATTTTTTATCATTTGACGACTAAATTATCAACTTTTTAACTATGATACGACACTTTTTAAAAGCATTTTAAGAAGGCCTTTAACTTAATAAAAGACTTAGTCGAGTCTGTTTTTCGATTGCGTTTTTTGTGGTTATTATTCAGAAAAGAAAGCAAGGAAAATCGTTGGCGATGTCCCAGAGCTATAGATAGTGCAAATTTTCAAACACTAACCTACGTAACCTTCAAAGAAAAAATAAGAATTTGAACGAATCGAGGCCGGTAGTGTTTGATGGCAAGAATTTTTTAAAGACTGCCGGAAAAGAGGGAGAGGCTGGGGGTGAGTCTGGAGGATTGGGCAGTGATATGCAGGACAATTTAAAAGTCATGCGATAGGACGAAGTAACCAGTCTTTTGAAATTGTATATTCTGTTTGGCACAAAGCCACATGCATGCAAACGCCAGCCAGGGATAATGAACGGGCTCAGGCAGGTTAGGCATTCAAATCCGGCGCCGTGCGGAATAAAACGGCACTTCATCCGTTTCCCTAATGAGCGTGGTGAGGAGGACGGGGGTTAACGCTTTTTTCAATAAAAGATGAAGCTTGTGTTTGAAGAGTCATCAGGGAAAAATTATGCAGCTTTCTCATTTATTTGCGACGGTTCGTCGCGTTTTCCCGACCGGGATAAACACCCAACGCCGACAGGGGCGCTGGCTGAAATGCGTTGGGGCTACCGGACCTCGAAACATCTTCTTCAAATTTTTTCTCTCCACACCCACGCCTTGGAAAAAAAATTTTGATACCCCCCTCCCTTGCTAATTTTTCTGCACACACCTAAAACCCTACGAACTAAAATCTAAACACTGTTACGATTTCCGTGCGCAGCGTTTTAATCCGGAAAAAGTTTTCAGTGATGCATGTCCAAGTGCGGCGCCATCTTTCCGAGTTCGGGTCAAAAATGTGCACAAAATTGTGATTTGTTTTTTTCTGTGGAAAAAATACTAGCCCCATGTTGGTTATTCTTCACGCACGTTCAGCCTCATAAATACAATTTATGAACTGTGCCAATTGTAAGCGGCGCGATTGTACTCGAAAGTGTTGCAGTTTTTGCCAGGTTCTGCGCCATCTTTCAGTGCTCGCGTCAAAAATTCCAGCTATATCTTAGAAATTTTCCCCACGTTCAATTCGTCTTTTGGAAACAAAACCTATTTCAAATTCTTTTAACACACACCGGAATAAAAAAAAAACAATCAAGACGGGCGATTGAATTCAAAAGTGGTTTATTTATCGTGTAGTTACATCTTTCACATTTGCGCTGAATTATCGGTATTTTTGTGCGTTCAAGTCGTCATTTCAGAATCATCCGCCATATTTTTTTCTTGCAGTTTTGACGAAATTATCTGAGCGAGTTTTTTTGTCTTTTTTGGACGAGAAGCTGTGAAAATATTTCGAAAAATGTCTTTGTAGATTCGCGCATGCTTGAAGACGTTGTGTGTGAACAAAGTATTGTGTTTTCTCTGAACGGGTTTGATTTCAAGTTGATTTTCATTCGACATTTGTGCTTGAGGATTTTTTTCTTCATGAGCTTCGACTAATACTTGCTCGAGGAATGATGAGAGGTAAGTCGAAATACTGTTCATCGTCTGGTGATGTGTGCAATTCCGTGTTTGAGGCTGAAATAGTTGTGAATCGCTACGTGAAAATGACTATAACTTAGAAGGGAAATTTCCAATGACTTCGCATTCTTCATTAGCAGTGAAAAATTCAGATTTCTCGGGTCCTGATTCCTATATCTGAACATTTCATATTTTAGGTAACGGCTTGAGGGTTTCTCCAGAAAAATAATGAGAACAAGACTGATATAATGATAAGATAAATTAAGACGCGGTGCAGGAAAAAGTATTCAATGATTATCGATCCAATATTTCGAAAGATCTTGAGCTGAAAGTCTCAAATGCCCTCACTCACTTGATTCTGATTTCATGAAAGTTCGGAAACCCTTTTTCTTTTTTGTTTCTCATCATCGTAATTTTACATGGGTATTCGTAAGTATACACTAAATTTTAAGGAAATAAAGCAGCTAAAATGAATGTTAAAAAATTGCAAGCCAACGCAGACATGAAATTTCGTCACGATATTTCAATAAAATTCCTAATTCATCAAAACCCGCATAAGCAAAGTTCGTGGAATTAATTTGTAGCAAGTTATTTAAAATGTAATTAAAGTTCTTACATCTGGTAACTTACACGTGTGTGAAAGAAAATTCACGTCCTGCAGAAGTTAATTCATCGTTGTGTTTCAACAGTGTGTCGCATTGAACCGTTTACCTTGTTCTTTTCTATGTAAATTCTTCTTAAAGGCATAAAAAAAAAATTGCGGAAACGGTTACGAGGAAAACACAATCTCCGGAAACCGAGCTCACGAGACACGTTGTCTGTCGAGCTCCTGCCAAATTATCATTGCGCTGAATCTCAATCCTCCCGTTTGGCAAAACATTCATGCAAAAAAAAGAGGAGGTATACAAAAAGTAGGCATCAGGGTAAAATCAAGAAGATCCCGCGTATCAACTCGTAGGAAACCGTGTTTTCGCGTCTGCCCACCTTCAGATGCTTCCAACAGATCCCATAAATTCAGCGCGCAAAAAGACCCTTTTTTTTTTGCTGAATCGCACGTATTGGCAACAAGCGCGATTCATATCAAAATGGCCAGCTTAAACCCCTGTCGATCTCAGCGGGGGCAAAACAACGGCGCAAACAGCGACTTGTGAAACAAAAGGTGAATGCTTGATGAGAAAAGCCGTTTTGCCAAACGGTTTTTGCGGCAAGTCGGCGGACGAGTTCGCTGAAAACAAAAAAAGAAGGGGAAATATATTTCACCAGGGATGAAAAACAAAAGATTTGCAAATTTATTCCAGATCAACACGATTGTTGTGACGTTTGGCCCAGCTTTTGATCGCTTTCGGAGTGTGCTCCGATGGGGGAACGAAATCAATCAGATCGAAATCTAGCTTTAAAAAAAATGAGAACAGCGAACTGTGTTTTGATTAATGGAAAAATGCATATAACTTGTAACAATTACGTTAAAAATCGCGAACATAATTCTAGGGAATGATCCAAAAATTTCATTCATCATCTCGTCTCCGAAAAGTATCACGGAATAGACCATGAAAAAAAATTTCATCTCAAAAAACGTCCCAATGCGACAAATTTACCCAATTTTGCGTCCAGCGTATAAAAAGGGAAAAAAATGCGAAACATTGTCAATTCTACATAAATCCAAACATAATTTGTGGGAATGGTTGGACTCAATTATCCAAGACCTATTGTCTCCGAAAAGCATCGTAAGTTGAAATCAATTGCTTTTTACAGCTTGAGCAATTAAAATTAAAGAAAAAAGACCCGCCTTGACTTTCAACAATTATACAAAAACATCCAAAGTTAATTTGAGGGAAGGGTCCCAAATAATTCCTCAATAATAGAATGACCAAAATAAAACTTATTTTGTGAAGCCGACGAATGGTAAGATAAATGAATGAAACAAAGTAGCGAAAAAGCACCCGATGACTTCCAGGAATTATTTTATAGAAATCTTAAACAAAATCAAAGGAAAGACGAACAACAAAAAATATAGTGCCGTAGAAAAAGTATATACAGTATCCAAAATGGGCATCAGGAAAAACGACTTTCGTCTTTCAGGCAAAACATCACGACGCCTAGAAATCCCCAGAAGTTTTCCCAGCAGGAACAGCGGCAGAATAAAAATCATTTTTCAAACAATGAGAAAAAAAAAGAATCTCTCAGTGACGCGACGACGACGTCCCTGACGACTGTCACATGATTCAGAAGCGGCAAGATCCAACTCTAGATAAGCATTGACAGTAATAATAATCATCGGCTCACCTTTGAAAGGCCGCGAGGAAAAGGAAACCCCGGACATTTGCCTACCTAAAAAGGATCCCGTGATGGCGGATCCGAGAACAAACGTACATAAATAACAACCTGGAAAACACGATGGCCGCCGCTCCGATATGCAAAGCGACAATGGCCGAGCGCGTGATCGAAAAAAAAATAGAATAAATGAAACGTGGGATTCGAGGCAGTTGTCAACGTTCTGGTGCTACACAAGCAATCATTTCTCAGCGAAGAAATATCTACTTTGACTCATTTTAATAAAAGAACGAAGTTCAACAATGAAAACATCTTGTCCAGGTTCAAATACTGCATTTTGACAATAACTTGTACATGTAATCTCCCCCTATAAACAGATTATGTCAATAAATATCACGCATTAAAATGCAATAAAAATCTTTTCAGCGAAACACAAACA